TTTGGTTTTACTAGAGTAAATCATTTGATAACAATGTATGAAGATATATGAGGAAGCGGTCTAGCCCAGTTAGTCGCCGATTCACTATTTCTTATAAAAAGTCTCTGGTTCAAAAACTCAATGGAGTAAGTGCCAGTCTAGATTACTCCAGGTTTCGACGGTCCCGTTTCGCCGGTCCCGTTTCGCCGGTCCCGTTTCGCCAGACGCCCCCGAGTAAAAAATGTATGAAGTACATGAAATTGCCGGCCCGGGCTATATTGATGTGTTGAGTTTAATTAAAGATATATTCGTATAGAATAGTGCTTGGTTGGCATCGTATCCATCAACCTACACATGTGTCACATTTTTTATTCTAATAAAGTTTTTGAATTTCCATCTATACTTTTGAGGTGAATGAACGATTATTTAATGGGTGCAGGTACAATTATTATCCAAACCAATGAGGATATATTATTGGTTTAAATGACCAAGAATGTCATCATTTTGCCTTGATTTTTTGCTCCGTCTAGTTTGTTGAGAGTTGAGACTTCTAGTATGGTACTCCGTATAACAAATGCAGAATATGAATATTTTACTATTTTAGGACTATTCCGCTATCCTTTTAGGCTTTTAGACGTTTAGTATGGTATATATAACACTATAACAAACACATTGTATGAATATTTTACTATTTTGGGACTATTTCGCTCTCGTTTTAGACTTTTAGAGCCCGTTTGGTAGCACCAAAATCTGCTGTTTTGGTTGATTCTGCTGAAATTTAGGAAGTTCTGGCTGAAGTGGCTGCATTGACTAATTCTGCTGATTTAAGAAAAATAAAATAAAATATATCATATCCATAAAATAAAGAAAAATTATATGTAAAAATAGCTAAAATAGTCATCTACAGTAACTTCAGCCAATACAGCCAGAAAAGTAACCCCAACAATACTTTTTCTGCTTATTGTACAATTCAGCGCGTGAAAGCAAAAGTTACATGTTTGGTGAAAAAGTTGACTGATAAGCCTGATAAGCTGAAAAACAGTGTTGCCAAACAGCCCCTTAAACACGGTGTATAGGGGTGGGCGCACTCCGGTCCAATATTTGGCCGAACCCGTACCTGTACCGTTACTATTCAAACGGTTCGGTTCGGTTTGGTTCTATTTTCAAACCAGACGGTACCATGCCATACCAATACCAAACAATGCCATTTTTTCCCAAGTGTTTAAGGGGAAATTAAAGTTTAGTCATCCTCCAAAAATCCACATAACTTATCAATTTTCATACTCGATCCGTCCCAAATTGATATGCAAAGTCAATACTTTTTGGTCAACCAATGTTAAAGTTAAATCCTCTTTATTGATAATTAATTCAATTTTTTAACAATTAAAATTTATATATTTAGAAACTACATTAAATCTCTTCAAAGATGCAAACTCGAAATTAAATATAATTAAAAATTGACATCCTAATTAAGTGAATAAAATGAAGTTGTTTGACCAAGAAAAGTTAATTTTGCAAATCAATTTGGAGTAGGTAGTTACATGATCAATAAATTTCAGATAAACTATAGTAGTACAAATTCAAATAATTAAACCATACATCGGTCGGGTTCCAGACTTCATATGAATTAGCAAAGGCGGTGAAAGTGTGAAGTCACTAGTCAAAGTAATGGTATAAATGTAAATTTAAATAATTAAACCATACTTCAGTCCGGTTCGGTCCGGTACCGGTTCTCGTTTTATGAGAACCGGTCATGACATTGTTTAGAACCGGTAGTGATGGATTATAGAGATCCAAGCATATAATAATAGGAGAGACTGAGCTCAAATGGAGAGGAAGAAGGTGAATAGTATTGTGAATGAGTAATGTTCTATGGAATTATGACTAAGGGTTACAAGAGACTCCAAGAGGAGTATAAATAGGGAAATCCGGGACTGGGCCTCTAATATGGGCCTGACAGATCCGGTTACATAAATGGACTGATAATATAAAAGGCTAATCTGGTGGATACAAATACAAATTGGACTATACATTAATACAAGTAATATCTGTAAGATCAGGGGGTCCAAGTCTATATACTCTATCAGGAGTCCCCTACTCCCTGAGTCGAGAGTACTCGAGGCGAAAGGGAGTAGAACTGTGTGTTGATCTGTCGTCGTCTAGTGAGTAAACTTCATGAAAAAAATTTAAATTTCTGCTTCTTTGGTTAACGGAGACACTAAGTCCCCCGCTCTTCCAGTCCCCTACTCCTTGAGGTGAATGTAGTGGGGTGAAGAGGAGTAGAGTAGTGCATGTCTCGTGATGATGTCTTCAATATGGACCGAGGGTCGACACCTTTTGTCCACGTTGGGGAGATGCCTCGTTAAAAACCTCACTAGGAAAAACCATGTGAAAAAAAATCCTAATGAGGGAAAAAGAGTTCATCGTATGCCCCCAAAACAAAGCAAAAGGGGTGAACCCTTCGGCCTAGACGCGGAGCTGCAGCGGTGTCCGTCTGCTGAGGGGATGGTCGAGATCAGTCTCTCAATGGGAGTAGCTCGACATGCTAAGTAGTCCTGGTCATCATTTAATTGCACCAATGTATTCAAATAAAACTATTATAATTTCTTGGGCTTATAATTCTCTATTGGATATGGGCTTACATTAAATGGTCTCAAATTTTCAAGCTGGGGCTCAAATTATGTTTCTATGCTTAATTGGAGCGTGACACGCGCCTAATTTAGAGTATGACTCAATAGTTTTAGGGCGCACACATAAATCGTACAGAACATAAACATAGCATGTATTAGATAACATTTGGATTTGGAGCTTATTATCACCGCACCCGTTTGTCGTGAGACTTCGGTAATCTGCCGGTGTACGTGAGTGCTCAGAATTCATAAGCCCATTTTTTCAATATAAAAAAATACACACTATTTTAAAAAATAATCTAGCTCAACTTGTCGCTCAAGTTCGTAGTTCGAATCCGCCAGTCCGCGCTTTTCGGGATCTTTTAACGGATGACTAGCCCCTTGAGATTGAAGTTTGATGCTATATTATTAATTTTTCATCTTTATGACTTTTTTTTGAAGTCTTTTAAAAGTAATGATAATAAATTAATAATCTAGCTCAACTTGCCACTCAAGTTCATAGTTCGAATCAGGCAGTTCGCGCTCTTCAGGATCTTTTAACGGATGACTTGCCCCTCGAGATTGAAGTTTGATTCTAAATTATTAAAATATTTCATTTTTAGGACTTTTTAGAGATCCAAGCAAATAACAATAGGAGAGATTGAGCTCAAATGGAGAGGAAGAAGACGAATAGTATTGTGAATGAGTAATGTTCTATGGAATTATGACTTAGGGTTACAAGAGACTGCAAGAGGAGTATAAATAGGGAAATCCGGGCCTAGGCCTCTAATATGGGCCTGACAGACCCGGTTACATAAATGGACTGATAATATAAAAGGCTAATCTAGTGGTTACAAATACAAATTAGACTATACATTAATACAAGTAATATTTGTAAGGCGTGTGTGACCCGCTGTCCAGGCCCAATAGTCGTGGGACCAGGGGGTCCAAGTCTATATACTCTATCAGGTACGGTATGGTTCGGGACAAAAAAATTGAGATTCGTTTCAAACCCGTTTTTTGGTCTGGTACCATACCGGTTCGGTTCGGTACCATGCCGGTTTGGTATTTTTGCCCATCCCTAACAGTGTATGAATATTTTACTATTTTTGGACTATTTCCCTATCGTTTTAGACTTTTAGAATTCAACCATACTTGTTGTACCCACCACTTTGTACCCACCTTATATCCACCTCTGTGAAGGCTATTTTTTTGTCTGTGAAGTCGGTTCACAGACAAAATATGTCTTTGAATTCCTTCACAGACATATTTTGTCTGTGAAGGAATTCACAGACAAAAAAAATAACTTCACAAACATGGGTGAGTACAAAAGTGTGTATAAAAGTGGGTACAAACATCATCTTCCTTTAGAATTGTGTAACATAACAAACCGTGTGAATATTTTACTATATTAGGACTAGCCCGCTCTCGTTTTAGACTTTTAGTATTGTATAACAAACACAATGCATGAATAGTTTACTGTTTTAGGACTATTCCACTCTTGTTTCAAACCTCAATAGATTTTTATCTCTCTATTTGATTACGCATTCTATCTTACAGAGCAGATTTTTTCTCGTGCAATACACAAACAATAGTTGCTTAACACATTCTATCTGTCTCACTATGTAAAATACACTTTCCTTTTGAGTTGTCCAAAAAAATACATTTACTTAAATTGAACTATTGTTAACTTTTAACTTTCTAACTTTATAGAGGTTTGAATTATTAAACAACCATATCTTCTAACTTTAACTGTCCATTAATAATAATAAAAATTACTCTATTATTAATCAAATTGATAGAGCAAGAAGAGCATGAGGCGGGAACGGGCTTGGGTCCACTTCCGTGACCGGTTAGGGACTGTCGTTAAAGTTTTATTTATTATTATTAAATTAATGTTATGTTTTAGTTTGGGCCTATTATGAGTAGAATACTTCGTAGAGTGAGTTAGGGCTTAATTAGGATTTAATTAATTTGAGCTTGATTAATGTTTCTCTTAGAAGACTATTTATACCCCTTATCAGGGTTCATTCTTGATCATCTTGGAATAAAAATTGGTTTAGCCTTTTGGCTCTGAGCAACGATATTTTTTTATCGTTGATTATCGAGGTAACGGTTCATCCCGTTGATTTTATTATTCTGTTACACAACACAAATAATGAACATTGGTGATGGATCAGATTCAAATATATTTTCAAAAAAATTGATATATTTATAAATAAAATGTAATTAAAATAGAGTATGTAAATAGTATAATGATTTTCATATTGAAACTGAATATACCCACTCTTATACCCACCTTATACCCACCATGTTTGTGAAGTGTTTTTTGTCTATTAATCCAGTCCACAGATAATATTTTGATCATCACAAGCATGGGTGAGTACAGAAGTGAGTATAAGAGTGGATACATCTCACTTTAGGTCTTTTTTAAATTTGTTTGGTGGAGTTTTAATTCAATTTTAAAAAACCAAAGCTTGTGTATCTAGGGAAGCGTTTCTTCAAAGTTCTTCCTAGATACACCTAAATTCATATTCATGAATTTTTCGATTCATTTTTGATATTTTTTAATATTTCGTATTTTGAATATGAAACTCTTAATTCATAGTGATGAAAATAAAATGATGAAATTCTAGACTAAAAATTATTTTATAAAAAGTTTTTTTATTAATTTATTAATTAAACCGAAGTTTCTTATAAATAAAGTACAAAATATTTTCCTAGAATCCCCAATATGTTTTTTATATCTTCTAGTTGAAAATGTTCTATTTTTAAAAGATATTCTTGTTTGTGATTAAAAAGATCAAATAATGTAAATATATTTGACTTTTTCAAGCAATTATATATCTTGGGAGGGAATTCTAATTGGTCAATAAAAATTAATTTCAATGAAAGTTTCTTTTTTTTTATAAGTTTAGTCACTTTATTATAAAAGATAAGGGAGGATAGGGGAATTTTGTGTTCCGCATCCGCTAAATATAAGTTTTCTTCTTCCATATGGAAAAAAGGAATAAAGAAATCAATCAAGATTTGGGCGGCTTCATGAAGTGCTTCTTTTCGGTGTTAAACTCCCATTTTTCCACTTGATAAAATTTATGCTCAAGTTTTGGACATTTTCAATTTCTCTGCTGAAATACTGAGTTTTGCCATCCTCAGGCGGTCTGACCTGTGGCTGCCTGGAGCAACCTGCCCTGCTGCCTGCAACCCATATTAAAAGAATGAAAGTTAACTTAGAGTCCGTTTGGTAACCATTTTTTGGCTTATCAGACTTAACAGCCATCTTTTTCACCAGATACGTAATTTTTATTATTTTGCGCGCTGAATTGTGTAATAAACGTAAAAGTAAAGTTGAAGTTATTTTTCTGGCTGTATTGGATGAAGTTACTGTAGAGGATCATTTTAGCTATTTTTTCATATAATTTTTTATTTTATTTATTAATAAAAAATAATTTAAATATAATAATTTTTTCATGAATCAACAGAATCAACCAATACAGACACTTCGGCCAGAACTTCATAACTTTCAACAGAATCAACCAATACAGCCAATTTTAGTGTCAACAAACGGGGCTCTTATTTTGTTCTTCCGTCATTTAAAAATGAGGCTTTAGTTCATATTCATGTTTAGTTAAATAATGGAGTTCCTTCTTTAAAAAATGACATTTTGGTCGTAGTATTATTTTGCACGCAATAGCGTGTTGTATTTTCTTTCTATTTGGGCCATGATTTAAAAACTAACTTTATAAAAGGTGAACAACGCAATTATAAACTCCGTACTTTAATACACCTTCAAACACAAATATGATGCTTATGAATTATGATGAATCTACTTTGTAATATGAGATCAATGCTGCAAGGAAAATCCATGTACTCTATTCATACACCAAAAGAAAAATGTGTTGAACTAAATTTTAGATTTCAAAGACTCAGTAATTATTGAAATCGTTTCAAGGTTGAATAAATAATACTTCGTATAAACCTTTTAGCACAATGCAATCTTACATGATTGGCAAGAAATTTAACATTTAACAGATTTGTAAAGATCACTTGCATTTAACTCAGTATTTGTTGAAATAGTTTCAAGGCATGTTCAATGCAAACATACATGGTTGGTAAGAAATTAAACATTTAACAGATTAGCCAACATCAATTTCATTTTCATTTGACTGGGTCATTGTTGAAATAGCTTCAAAGGCATGTTCAATAAATAACATAGCCCACTAAGCACAATTCACACTTGCATGATTGGATTGGCAAGAAATTAAACATTTAACAGCTATACTCATGAACAGTGGAGCCATAACATTCAACCAAACTGAACTACATTGATAAGGGTCTTGTCTGGGAATGAGCTAATAGATTGATACAAAAATGGTGGAAACATCCCAGGAACTCCCCACCATGGTAATCAATTTTTACTGATACTAACAAAACACAGTGTTGCAAGTATATATCAAGAGGAATTATATGGGATCATACTCGGATCTGTAGATAAATGACAAAATAAAAGACAAAATATACCAAAAATTTATAATTTTGATTTTCGCATGCTAGAAAAAACTGCTTATGTTTGTAATGGAATTTCAAAGAAAAATCCTTGTTAGAGGCTCAGATCTGTTGTTCCCAGAGGCGATGGGAAGCCGAGACCGCCATGGCTGCAAAATCCGGGCCCATTTCCGGTTTGCCCCGCCAAGTTACGGATCTGGTCCTCCAATGCCTCAATCAATATAGTAGAGCCCAGGAAGGAGAACAAACAGAAGAACATATCATCACAGCCTATTTAACAATAAAGATATACTCCGCAGTTCAAAGTAAAAACAGTTCCAGAAGCAGAAATCATGAATGATGAATGCTAGCAGTAACAGCAACCGAACAGCGCCCTGAATATTTAACAACGACCCTACTTACAGTCGATCGATGAAAATGGTTTCATTTTCATTATACTCCGTATTTTAATTTATTTTCTTTTTTCGCTCTTTTTCTTGCGAGAACGAGAAGAAAGGGCGGTTGGAGAAGGGGCGTGAAGAAATCATGCGCAGAGGAGAGGGAGGCAACTGCCCTTTCAATAAACTCCCATCCCTCTCCCTGCCTCACTCCTTCCTGGGCTCCAACCCTCGGTGATTGAACATTCTGGTGTTTAAATAGTGCTTTTGGGTCGCTCATATGCATTGGTTGGGTGGATAAAATGAGTTGGGGTGTTTTCTTTGGACTGAAATTTGCTGGTCTGGTCTGATCTGGTCTGAACAGGTCAGGTCTGGTAAACGTCTGGTCTCTGTTATTTTATAACTACGGAAGTCAAGTCTGGTCTGGTCTGGTCTGGTCTGATCTGGTCTGGTCTGGGACTGAAAACAGTCCAAAAGAAAACATTCTTGGTCCAACTGATGAACTGAACGGTTCGGGTTTGTTCTGGTTTCGACTTAAAAAAATGATTTTTTAAAGTGATTTTGGGAAAAGTAATTAATAGTAAAAGATGTTAGTGTTTGAGAAAAAAATGATTCTGGAAAAGTAAAAGTTGATAGAGTTTGGTAAAATAAGTACGTTTTGTGTAATAGAAAAAGTAAAAAGTAGTTTAAACTTTAAAGCACTCTTCTACCTGCTTCCAGCTTTTAGTTTTTAATTGATTAATTTAAGCAGAACCTGTAATTTGAAAACAATATTTTCTCCTTTTTTAATGTCAAAAGCTGAAAAACGTTTTTTTTAAGCAACCACAAACACTCCTTAAAGCATTTGATTACAATTTGTTGAAACTGAGCGGTTCGGTTCGATTTTAAACTCGAAAATCATAAACAAAATACTTTAACTTGTCATCCCGTATTATAATAAATAAATGAATAGTTTTAATATTATAAATACTTGTTTAACTTATACTCCCTACTATCTAGTATACTCCGTATTAATTAACTTTTATACGGAGTACATTCTATAAAGTTATTAAAATATACTACCTCCGTCCCATTTTATGTATCTCCTTTAGTTTTGGCACAATTTTTAATAAAGTGGTTGAAAAAAGTAAAGTTGTGGTTGAGATTTGAGTATAGTAAACTAAAATGTTGTGAACCACATATTTCTTTCCAAAAAGGAAAAAATGACACTTGTTTTGAGACGATTCAAAAAGGAAAGTAAGACATGTAAAATGGGACGGAGGGAGTAGTTTGTAATATTTTATACTATTTTCTAAGCAAGATGTTTGGTGATGACAATAGAACATTAAATTTGTATCAATTTCAATTAAATTAGAGTAAAATATACACTTTTCATGATTTATTTGACTTAGAATATGGCCTTTATAACATTTTTCTTGATTACGCGTTTAGTTTTCTTTAATTTTTTTTATATGTAGTATGATTTTATAAATGTGAATCCGCAATAAATTTAACTTTTGTGAGAGGTGAATCTTTTTTTAATGGTTGATAAAATGCTAAACGTTTTCATGTCATAATCCTGGTAAATTAAATTGGGTGTTAATTGATAATAATTTATAATTTTCTTTCTATATTTTATTTCACTTCATATTTTAGTCAAATGGAATAGACTGAATAGATAATTGGCACACACAGACATCCAAGACAGTATTCGCCGGTTAGTCCCATCAGCCGAGTCAAGACCAAGGGTCTGTTTGCAACAGCTTCCGCTTTTAAAAAAAATGTTTTTTTTAATGAAATGGAGAGAAGTGGTTAAATAAAAGTTGATAGTGTTTGAGAAAAAAGTGATTTTGAAAAGTAAAAGTGGGTAGTGTTTGGTAAAATAAGTGTTTTTTGTGTAATAGAAAAAGTAAAAGCACTTTTGACGCGGAAGCCGAGAAAAATAAAAGTTGTAGTGTTTGGAAAAATAAGTGTTTTTTTAAAGCCAAAAGCTGAGAAGTGCTATTTTAAAAGAAGTTGCAAACCAACCCGAAAGATCACGGGAGCCAAACAGATATTGACTCGATCAGTCAATCTTTGGGCAGAGCAGCGTTCCTCATCAACATTTAATCTCGCCAAAGCTTTTGACGATATTAAATGTATGGATCCATGAGATTTGGAGAGAGGGGCTGGAAGAATATGATAGCAATATAGCACCATGTCGCACTCTCCCCGTCTCTCTTACTATCACACCCAATTATAAATACTCTTTCATCTACCGCTATATAAAAAGAGGTGGAAATCAAGTCATTTTTCCCGCTCAAAAATGTCTCAATCAAAGGTAAAAAAATGTTACTATTGAGAGTTAAAAAGGGCAATGCTTTGTTAAAAGGATACGGGTAGAAAAGGGCATAAAATTGGGGCGACCTGGTCAAAGGTAAATACGATTTGTGTAGTGCATTGGAATACTAAAATTCGTATGGTCATTTCACGTGTCTATGTCAGCAGAAAAGTGAAGGAAACGAACAATAAAGCTCTGATTTACGCACAGTTTTATAACATCTCTAAACTCCTCTCTCTGGGTTTTGAGAGTGAGATGAGATTGAGATTGCGAGTGTCAAAGGAGGGGCGGAAGCAGCAGGGCAGCAGGCGGGTGGCCGGAGTGGGAATCTTGGACTGTAAGCGACATCGCCGACATGAACAACAGTTCAGCTGGGCCACCTGGGTGAGTAGGCGGGCTGTTGGGCTGATGACACGACGCGACGCACTTGACGGTGGACAACAAGGGACGGGAGACGAGGCCAGTGGTGGACCTCACAAATAAGAAAGGTACAGTGAGATTATTGTTGGACTATCTTGAAAATTTAAATCTGTAATTAGTTGAAAGCTTAATCTATCTCTATATAAAATTAAACCAAGTGGAATTTCAAACCGCCAAAACTTGCTGCAATGGACCTGGTCAACAAAAAACAGGTTGAACTAATTTTCTGTGGTGAAAGTACTGGAGGGGAATTAAATGCAGAACTTTGACTAGGATAAGGTTGCTCAGTGCTCAAAGGTTCTTTCGTATGTCCAATGGGCAATTGCCTGCCTTTTGAGTTGTCATTTGTTTTTATGTGGATTCTGTTTTACCAAGGTAAGTCTATCATCCTTGGCTTATGAGGTACGAATTTCTTTAGCAGTGCCTTCATCAAAATTGAATATAAAAAAGTCTGTGTTGTCCAATCAATTTCATGTCATCAAAGTTCAAAAGACATTACATGTTATTCACCATGGGGTAATTTATTGTCAAATAGAGTCAAAGCACTTCAAATATTATGTGTAAATACAACCAAACTTATCTGCAAGGCATGCACCATGGCAACACATACAACATCACAATAGCATCGAGTACTACAATCATGTGGTCTCTCATTCAAGCTAAAAATGCGGATCACACAATATCTACTTGGGTCGCAAGGGACTTGAAGTTTCAAGAATAGAGAGGCTTTTTCCATGATGATGAGGTATATCATGTGTGATGTGTTTCTTCAAACTCTTTTAAAAAATGATGCAGAGTTTCAAATATATTCTAAATAGTGTTTCACTAAAATTGACAGGGAAGAGTTGATGACATATTCATGCTGCAACAGGAGACCGATAAGAAGCTACTTATTGGTGAGTCTTATAAAATATAGTCAATTGGTCTTATTACTTTTTTTTTTTATCAAACATTTTCTCAATCTAAATTTGATAATGTGTGTGTGTGCATATTTATGAAAAATGCAAGACTCGAAATATATTTCAATTGATTCTTTTCAATTTTTTAACAACTAAATATATTTCAAACTGCATAATTATTTATTATTTAGTTGTACATGGAATTTAAAGCATGGTACAGGGTAAGTCGTAAATGGTCTAGACCTCTAGCTATGCTAAATGTACATCCTTAATAAAAATATTATGAAATAGAAGTTTGAAAAGTTTTATTTTATCCCAGTAGAATGTGTAGGAATTAACAAGGATGTACGGAGTATTCTTTTAACAAAAGCTTCTAAGATGTGTATGTAACCACATCATGTCTAAACGTGCAAAAAAGGAAGTATATAGAAACAAAAATATGGTCTTCTTGAAACTTTACTCAAGGGACGTGTAAGCTTTTTTAGTTTGTACTAATTTCAAAGAGCGATCATGACTATTACCTTTAGTGCTTGGATTGTTTATATTTCATATGTTTTCTTGCAGAACTCGTAGTCGAACATAGAGCAAGGGACTGTGCGCACCACACTCAACATTCAGTACCTAAAGCTAAAAGAGAGGCTCAAAAGCAAATTACATAAATTAGATATGGTTCGTAAGTACAACATAGGGCAACTTAAAATTCACTATACCTTATGGTATTTAGTGTTATGGATTCCTAATTTAATTTTTCTTACATTCAACTTTATGGCGTAGTTATTAAGACTACAAAAAATATACTTAATATACCCAATATGTTGAATAATATTTAAGTTAGTACCTAGCAACTTCCCTATTTTATTAAAAAGGATGATTAAGGGCATACATTAAAATCCAACAATAGTTTTTAAAGAAAAAACTATCTGGATTTGATATTCCGTATGTAGCATTTAAATGTGAATAGTAAGACTTAATGAAATAATTAAAACAGAAGGGGATTAGGATCATGTTTGGCTCTTTAAGTTTGAAAAAATGGACCCTGCACTCCGTATTCTAAACGGGTACATTTGAAAACAGTTCATATATCTTGCAAAACAGTAAATGGTATAATACCGTAGGTGTATGGATATACTATCATGTAGTAAAACATAAGTCGTAAGTTGAATAATGCTATGTGGTACATTGGTCTGTAGTTATTAAATTTATAACTAGAGGTCTAATTAATGTAGGTTAAAGTACAATTATTGTATTGGTCTGTCATGAAAAATGTTTTAAATGATACGGAGTATGAAAGATATTACAAGTGAAATAGTGCGCAAAAAAATGGTAACTTGATTATCCGAAAGAGTGTACACTCCGATAATGTGTGAAGCCATCGTACTGGAGATCTCATTTTAAAATATGCCAGTACGAATTTGTCACCAAAGCGATGCATATTTGCTTTTTCCGACCCTTTATAGCAACAACGGAAACTCTATGTCCATAAAAACGGTACATCCTTGATATTTGGACAGATATGTATCGTAAAAAGGTAGTTCCATAGGGATGTGTTCTATCCTTGCTCATGGATGTGTTATAATTTTGAAAGACGTACACATTGATTTATTCAAAATACATGCATGCTTTGCAAACCTCAAATAAGCA